GTGTCCTCGTCCGAGGGGCATCCGTTGTTCCTTGCCCATTGCAGAACCTCAAGATGTCCACCCAAAGCCGCGTTGGAGCACGTCTCCTCGTCCGAGCGGCATCCGTTGTTCCTTAGCCGTTCGAGCACCATAAGGTGTCCGCCCAAAGCCGCTCTAGAGCACGTCTCCTTGTCCCAGGGGCATCCGTTGTTGCTTGCCCATTGCAGAACCTCAAGATGTCCACCCAAAGCCGCGTTGGAGCACGTCTCCTCGTCCGAGCGGCATCCGTTGTTCCTTAGCCGTTCGAGCACCATAAGGTGTCCGCCCAAAGCCGCTCTAGAGCACGTCTCCTTGTCCCAGGGGCATCCGTTGTTGCTTGCCCATTGAAGCACCTCACGATGTCCGTTCTAAGCCGCGTAAGAGCACGTCCCCTCGTCCCAGGGGTATCCGTTGTTTCTTGCCCGTTGCAGAACCTCAAGGTGTCCACCCGAAGCCGCTCTAGAGCACGTCTCCTTGTCCCAGGGGCATCCCTGGTTCCTTGCCCATTGCAGAACCTCAAGATGTTCGCCCAAAGCCGCGTTGGAGCACGTGTCCTCGTCCGAGGGGCATCCGTTGTTCCTTGCCCATTGCAGAACCTCAAGATGTTCGCCCAAAGCCGCGTTGGAGCACGTGTCCTCGTCCGAGGGGCATCCGTTGTTCCTTAGCCGTTCGAGCGCCTTAAGATGTCCGCCTCAAGCCGCGTAAGAGCACGTCTCCTCGTCCCAGGGGCGTCCGTTGTTGCTTGCCCATTGCCGAACGACAAGATGTCCGCCCCAAGCCGCGTTGGAGCACGTCTCCTCGTTCCAGGGGCATCCGTTGCTTCTTGCCCATTGAAGGACCTCAAGATGTCCGTTCGCAGCCGCCGAGAGGATGTATCTTTGTCCCAGGGGCATCCGTTGTTTTTGCCCATTGAAGGACCTCAAGATGTCCGTTCGCAGCCGCTCGAGAGGATGTATCTTTGTCTCAGGGGTATCCGTTGTTGCTTGCCCATTGCAGCACCTCAAGATGCCCGTTCAACGCCGCGTCGGAGCACGTCTCCTTGTCCCAGGGGCATCCGTTGTTCCGTGCCCATTGAAGGACTCCAAGATGTCCTCCCTTGGCTGCTTCCTCGCATAACTGCTCATCTCCCACGCGGACATACTGGTGAGGACATTTGCGTTCCGAAGAGAGGCGGTGAACATTGATCGTGGGCGCTGTAGTTCCGAGTTGACACGCGGAACACACAACCATCAATTTGAAGGAAAATCTCAAAGCATACCCTCTCTCAGCTAAACAACTGACCTGCAACCGAGCTATTGGTACTGAATGTTCGTATATGTCCTTTACTTGGAAGGGGAAGACGTTTTATCTCTTTTATTAGACACGCAAGGTGAGTAGGGAGAAGTGAAGCCCTCTTTGGAGTTCGAGGGGTCCCCGCACATGTAACCATTTCAAGGTGTACATATGCCCCATCTGCGTGCCCTCTGTTGTTGCCGGTAGATCAAACCAGTCCGTATCCAAACACACGAACACCCTCCCCGGTTTGCACGCGAATGGCAAACCTACCGTGGGGCTGGATACCCCTGGTCTACCAAAGGGACTCAAAACAACAAGAGGCTCGAGGGAAAACCCGGCCACCTCGTCAAACACCCTAAATATAGAAAACCGTCGCTATCACGGGAGGATTCCAACGGCCGCACTTCCAAGAAAAGACGAAGGCAGGACAGAGTGAACCAGTCGCGCTGATTACACACCCGAAGCAACGCTCTCGGCATTTCTACGCTCCAGCCGCGGGTGACGCGCCGGCACAACGCTTCCTGCGTGACTTCCATGGTCATATATGCCAAGTGCTAAAACCACCACATAAACCAAACAGA